CTTCATATCTCTGTAATTTGACTTTCCTTTTCAAACATCCTTTGGACTGAACCTCTGTCTTTGCTTTGCTGACTTTTAGAGAGCTTCCTGGTGGCTTTAGAGAAGGATGCCCACGAGCGAGCCAGGAGGAGGAAAGAAAATGAAGCCTTGGCAAATGGTGAGGGTTGGGTTGCGTTGGCCTTCAGCAGAAGCAGCTGGAACTGTTGGCTAGAAAGAAAGTCCTGGGACTTGACCCCCAAGGTTTTGTGGGGCAATTCAAGCCTCCAGCAATTTTGTGGACTGTCAAGAGTTGCTTGATTGATCTCAAGGCATCATTGCAGCTCAGCAGACAGCAGTGAGAGGCTCTTGCAGTTCAACAACACCAGCGGAAATTGACGGTTCTTGGATCGCAAGAGGGTCTACAACAACTCGCTATGGCTAACTCGCCGCCGGACAAAAGTTACACTAATATCAAAGAAATGGTGGAATAGAATCATTAAAGAAAGGATGCCAAAGGAGGGACAGAATGAAATGAGAATGACAAACCTTATAATAGCATTTTAATTATTTTAAATAATTAAATTGAATTATTGAGTTGTCCCATGGTGAGCTGGCCGTGGCAAGTTGCCCCGTGCCGCCACGAGAGCCTTGATGCTCTCCTCCCACTTTCCAGCCTCCCAACGGAGGGTAACGGCCACAGCCCCATCGGGCAGGGCAGGCTAAGGAACGGGGCCCACACAGACCCAAAGCTACTTTTATTAGAACAGACACAGGAACAGAACTGCGCAAGGCTGAATGAGCGTCCAGCCCCCCCTTTTTTTTAATCTTCCCTGTGGGTTAAGTGGGGTGGGGTTTCACAAACTGCTTTCTCCAGTCTCCTTTCTCTGATCACTGTGTCAGGAGCAGACCTTCCCTCCCTCTTTGGAGGCCTTTCTCCACACCTACTGCAACAACTTGACTTTTTTTTTAAAAAAAAAAAAGCCTTCCGTTATTCCTCTTTCCCGCAGCCCTGAAAGACCAAGGGAACGACGCTTTCAGCAAAGGGGACTACGCTTCAGCTGTGCAAAACTACACAGAAGGCCTGAAGAAGCAAAAGGACGTGCCAGCCTTGTATACCAACCGAGCCCAGGTCAGTGTGCCAGCAGGCATTGGTTTAAGGGGGCGGCCCCTTCCTCCAGGATCTTTGCACCCCAATTTCCAGCTCCTGCTGGGGGTCCTGCCCTTGGGATGTGGCTGCTGTTCTGCAGCGTCACACAAAGGCGTCACACAAAGGCCAGCTCAGGACTGCTGATCCCTTTCTCCACGTAGCAGAAGACATCAATTAGAAGTTCCTGTCTAGGGAAAGACAACTCTATCGGTCTGTCCCGATGAAAGGGTTCTCGGCTCTTCCTTTCTCTCAGGGATAGAGAAGGCACTGCAGGCTGTTCCCCAGCTCTACATGAAGGCGACTCCTACATCACAGGGAAAATACTTCAGCATCCATAGGCAGAGGCGCCTCTCCTTATCTCTTCCCGTTCCTGCTTTTTTCTCGCCCCTCTGAAGCTCTGCATCAGATGCCTGCAAGCTTCCTTTCCTGAAAAGTGCCCCTCAGGATCCATCCCTTGATCTCTCTCGGCTCCCTTTTACTTGCAAGCTTTCTTTGGAGTGATCCTTTAGGCAGAGGTCATTCTTTAGCTGAAGAATTACAGAAAATTGGGCTACCCTTGTTGTGTGTTCTTTCCCTCAAAATTCTCTCAGCCTCAAAATTCTGCCTGAATCAAGAGGTTTTCCCCTTTACAGAATCAAATCCCACAAATTTGGAGCTCAGAAAAGTGAATCTATAGGAATCCGTGGGTCCAGATTGCCCCTCACCCCATGAAGAAGAAAAAAAGGCTAATTCCATTGCTTGGCCTCCTCTACAAAAGCTCAGTGAAGCAGGATGAGTTTTCCTGGAGACCTGGACTTGCAGTAGTCTAGCCGCAACCTTCCATCTTATTTCCTCCTAAATACGTTTTTCTGAGAATATTGTAGGAAATTCAACAATCTGAGCCAGCAATACAACCCGTGGCTACTAACTGAAACCAGCCCGCCCAGCTTTTGTGACATCAGCAGTCTGGCTGGTGAATGGCTCAGCTCTTCTGGCAGGAAAGCCCAGGTGGAACGGCTGGCATTTTGAAGGAACAGCACCAAGTCAACTTAACGTGCTTATTTTTGCATTAGGCCTACATCAAGTTGCGGAAGTACGAGAAAGCCATTAGCGACTGCAGCTGGGCGTTGAGGGTAAGACTCGTTCCCTCCTTCCTTCCTTCCCTGCCCTCCGTGAGAGGCACAGAACAGGCCCAGGGAGGGATCTGGGCTCTGAGTGGCAAGGTGGCATCCAGTCAAAACGGCGATAGGCAGGTGGCTTTGGTCTGTAGGGTCCTCTGCTAGACAATAAAAAGTAAGCAGTAATTTTCTAAAAGGGCTGAAACACCTTCAGTTTCCGGTGACAAGCTGCTCCCATTGAAGGACCCCCTTTTCATACACACACACACGCACGCACACATGCAGTGCCTGGCTTCAGCCACACAACTGTAGCCTCCCCCCCCATCTTGATATTTTTAACACCCACACCCGCCAGCCAAAATCCCCCGGTGCCATTTTCGCAGCCCTTAATCGGGGACATGGCGATCTGTGAATTTTGCTAAATGATTCTCTTTCCCGCAGTGCGATGAAAAATGCACCAAGGCTCTCTTCCATATGGGAAAGGCCCACCTGGCCAAGGAGCAGTTCCAGCAGGTGAGACCTCACCGGGCTCGGGGTCTGCGCTGCACCGAGTAAATTACAGGTAGTCCCCGATTTATCTCCCCAAATGGGGTTAGAATCTCCCTGGCTAAGCAAGGCGCTTCTTAAGTGAGTCCTGCCACATTGTGGGTTTTTTTGTTTGTTTTTTTGCTCAGTCGTTACGCGAATCATGTGGTCATTAAGCAAATCTGGCTTCCCCCCTTTGACTTTGCTTGCCAGACTTTGCTGGCTGGTAAGGTTGCAGGTGTAACCATGTGACCGCCCCCCAGGGCCAGACACCTGAACCTCGGTCACCTGACCATCGGGATGCTGCGAGGGTCATAAGCCTGAGGACCGGTTACAAGTCACTTTTTTTCAGTGTCGTCGTAATTTGAACACTTGCTAAACAAATGGTTGTAAGTTAGGGACTGCTTCTACTGTCTGAATGTGAGTTTTATTAGCTTGTTCAGATGCTTGTGGGTCTGCATTGTTGTTGAGAAAGGAAAACGAGAAGATTAAAAAGCAGCCCCGAGGAGATAGTCCTCAAGAAACCATGCTCAGAATTGGTAGGTCAGATGCCTTTGCCCATAGCCTGTTAACTAAACTGTTAGCCAGGGGTCTTCAAACTCGGCCCTTTTATGACTTGTGGACTTCAAGGCCTAGAAGCTGGCAAAGCTGGCTGAGGAATTCTGGGAGCTGAAGTCCACAAGTCATAAAAGGGCCGAGTTTGAAGACCCCTGCTGTTAGCAAACACTTTAATTTTAAACTTCCGGGGACTCCAGTCTTTGGGGGAGAAAAACCAGAGAGAGCATGGCTGAGTCTCAGCTGGCTGGGGGCGCTCAAAAGCGCCTGCGTTTGCAGGATTGTCCTGGGAAGTAAATTGTGAGGCCCAGATTTCAGCAAGAGGGGAGATGCATTGGTGTTTTGTGCTAGTCATGAGGCCGAGGCTTTTTCTTGGTTGCTCCTCTCTCCGTCTCTTTCTGGTGTTTCTGATGTTTCTTCCTTCTGCTTCCAGGCCAGAGAGTGCTACCTGAAGATTTTAGAAATTGACCCCCAGAAGGAGAAGCTGTGCAAAGGTAAGGCGCCCCAGTCTTCCCGCGTCACCCCGCTGCCCCCGTCCCACTAAGCACCGAAAGACCAAACACAGGCCCTGAAGGACAGGATCGGCAATTGTCCCCTGCGTTGCCTCAAGCCAGGATCACATCATTCACCTTGGTTCATTTCATCCCCTGTTTTCTCCTCTTCCCGCCTGTCAATTCTGCCCTTTCCCACCCTCAGACTGCATACATAAAATAGACCTGGAGGAAAAAAAACTCTGTGAGGAAGAGAGAGCAGAAGCAGATTTCAAGTCCGGGAAACTCACTGCAGTCACCGTGAATGAGATGCTTCAGAAACTCAGCAAGCCGGATCAGGACCCTCTTTATTATGCAGGTGGCATTCGGCTTCTGACGGACCTAGTTCAAGCCTGTGAGTGCCCCGTAGAAGGAGCAGCCCCAGACTGAACCCCCAATTTCCCAGTGTCCCGCAAAGGATCTTAACCCAGACACCAGGAAATGCTGCACCCTCAGCTCTTAATCCTGGATTTCAGCTGCTAGCGAGATATTGCTTACATCTGAATGTCTTCTCCCTTGTCTGAATTGCTTGCAGGCACCGAGCAAACTTTATTTAGGACGAACGGCGGTTTCAGCATCATCTCCGACAACAAGGTCATAGAACAGTAGGTGCTCTCGTCTGGAGAAGATGGGAGAAGGGGTCTCGTGGCACAGCAGCCCCAAGATGATGGGCAGGAAGCAGAATGGGTTCTGTGGCCTGCAGCAGGGCTGACCAGCCTCTGGCACAGCAGCAGAGTTATACTGAACTGGCCAGGCCAGCAAGGAAAGCAGTGTGGACATCACAAACATCAGATTGTTTGTGGCGATCAATTCAGAGGTTTGAAAAGTGCCCTCTTAGTCCATCATAAAAAAGATGTTGAGACTCTAGAAAGAGTGTAGAGAAGAGCAACAAAGATGATTAGGGGGCTGGAGGCTGAAACATAAAAAGAACGGTGGCTGGAATCAGGTATGTCTAGTTTAATGAAGAGAAGGACAAGGGGTGGCACAATAGCTGTCTTCCAATATATCAGGGGCTGCCCCAAAGAAGAGGAGGGGGTCAACTTATTTTCCAAAGCACCAGAGGGCAGGACGAGAAGCAATGGATGGAAGCTAATCAAAGAGAGAAGCAACCTAGAACCAAGGAGGAATTTCCTGATAGTTAGAACAATTCATCAGTGGAACAGCTTGCCTGCAGAAGTTGTGGATGCTCCAACACTGGAGGTTTTTAAAGAAGAGACTGGACAGCCATTTGTCCGAAATGGTATAGGGTTTCCTGCCTGAGCAAGGGGTCGGACTAGAAGACCTCCAAGGTCCCTTCCGGCTCCTATTCTATTCTATTCTATTCTATTCTATTCTATTCTATTCTATTCTATTCTATTCTATTCTATTCTACCTGGGGCAATTTAAGGCCAAGCTGAGGAATGATCCTGTGTGTTTTCTTTCTCTGAGGGGCAGCCCACATAACTCTTTCAAAGGTTGGGGGGGGGGGAGAACTGTTACGCTGGAGAGATCTTTTCCTACTCCAAGCCTCCCTCCAGAAGAAAAATCTCTTCCCATATTTCTCACGTGCTTTTCCTTACCAAGGAGGGGAATGTTAATTATTTGAAACTGACAAGAGAAATCTTTCTTTCCCACCTCTGCTAACAGATGCTCAGTTTGTCAGTAAGGGTATAATTTGGCATCATTATTCATTTATTCTATTATTTCAGTCTTAAGGCTTCCTTGGAAGGGAGGGAAGGTTTTGCCATGAAGGGGGAACTCACGGCCAGGTGTGGCAGCTGTTTATTTTTCTCTGCCCAACACCCGGCTTGGTCTCTTGCAAGGCTGAAAGGCTCTTTCAAAGCGTCCAGATTAGAGGCCAAATCCAGAGCTCGTATTTTGTTATCCCGGGAAGACAAGCAATTCTGCAGAAAGGAGTTGGCCCTTCGTTTAATCAGCCCCTTTCTTCTCCAGGGTCCTCGGCGCCAAGATCAGCTCGCCTGCCGAACTGGAGCTGCTTCGCTCCCTGCTTCTCCTCTGGCAAGCCGTCTGCAAAGGGAACGGTAATCTGTGCCAGTCCTTCCTCCTGGGGTGCTGATTTTGACTCCATCCATCTTTCCGGGGAGGGCAGCTCTGCTCTTTTGGGCACAAATCCTGCTGAGACCTTGGCAAGCACCAAAGAGTTACAGATCAAAGGTCTCCGCTGCAAGGGCAGCATTAGCACAAACCTGTGGATTGCTCCACACCACCTTCCTGTGTGGGTGGCAAATCACTTTCCCATTTACTTCGGTTTCTCATAGAGGCTTCACAACTTGGCTTTTGTGTCTGTCTGTCTCTCTGACCTTGGGTTCTTCTCAGTCAACCTTTTCACTGAATAATGCCAGCATTCCTCCGGCAAGATCCCTCTTCCTTCACAAGAATTTTATTTGCCTTACCAAGATCCAGGGTCTTTATGCCTGTAAAGAGTGTAGCTATGTGGGGGAGCCATTGTGGCTTCTGTTGAGTGTCAAGCCTGTCTGGGGGAAGGGTCCCCTTAGGCCCTCTGAAGGAACCAGCAATCTGGGGAAAGGAAGTGGGTTGGATAAAGGAGACTAGCTTAGTTTCTTGGGCATGCTGATGTCCAAATTTGCCTCAATCCAGATCACTAAGTGAGACATGGATTGCTTTTCCCACCTCTGCGTGAGACATAATTTGCCCTTCAGAGGGGTGAGCAAGTCAGATGTTTAGATTCTGCAGACAGACTGCTCCTTTTTTTTCCATCGCTCCTGGAGATAGACGGATCTCCTCACTGGGGCACAAAAAGGCGCTCCGGCGGTCGCACATTTTGGAGAAGGCAGAGGTGACTAGGAGAAGGACTTGTAGAGCGTTTGGTGCAGCCCTCTGGCTGAAACTTTCTTCCGGCTTTGCTTCCTTCTCACCCCAGAGGAGAACCAGCGGCTGCTTCTAACTCATCCCGATGTGAATGCGCAGCTTCCCGCTTTGCTGTGCTCGGAGGCGCCTGAAGTCCAGGAACAGTGCATGGCTCTGCTGTCTCTCTTCGCGGAGACTGAGCACGGGAGGATCCTCCTAGTCAGACATCTGAACACCACCAAGTAAATTGCACAGAGTTACAATATGGCTGCCCTCCCCCACTCCTCTGCGACCCAACTGGGTCTTCCTGCTGAAGCAGAGAGAAGCTCCTGACCGCCTCAGAAACTGACTGAGGCTCTTGCTGGCTGGCTGGCATAATGAGCAGAGCCCCTTAACGTTGGCAACGTTGGACACCCCTGCTCTAAATGGAAAGCTGGGATATACCATATACCTGGCTGGGGCATTCTGGGAGTTGAAGTCCACAGGTCTTAAATTTGCTAAGGTTGGACGTCCCCTCCGTAGAGAGTAGTGGAGCTGACAGAGACTCAGAAGACCTTGATTGAAAGGTCTGAGCCTGGCTGGTTGGGGAATTCTGGGAGTTAAAATCACAAGACTTAAAGTTGCCAAGGTTGGACAGTCCTGATTTAGAGCTTCTGTCATTTTTTAAATATCCTTCTGAGTTAGCAAGAATCTATCCACATCATGGGAAATTAGGATAATTCTGAGGACCCCAGAAATACTGCCCTTTGAAAAACTTTTGAACATACCGTACATTTTATGATGAAGAGGAACATTATGCAATGATTATATCATCAAGGTCTTTTTAAAAAAAAACCTACAGGGGTTGTTTCTAATGCTGCCAGCAAGTATTTTCATGAGTCAGTCTCCTTTTGCCCAGTTCTGTGGAAAAGCCTGCAGCTGATATCATTTATCGGTGGAACCCAGTGAATTTCTACTCTTTAACACACTCCTCTCCAATTCCCCCAGTGGTGAACTTAAAGGCCAGTTGGCATCACTCAGAAGGCATCAGAGCCATTTTGCTTCTTCTCCTGGGGGGCCAAAAATTGTTGTTTTCTACAATTAAAGTTGTTTTCTACAATTTCTGCTCAGAGTAGTGCTCACTAAGTGCTAGTCAAGCCATCCAAATTGTATTCCGCATAATTCATGGAACACTATAGCTTTCGCTCCCTGGTGCAAGGTTTTCTGGGTACAAACTGGTAACTATCCTTAGATTTTACTCTGGCCAATTTATTGGAATTGTAGATCTCCTGTAGACCCCAGAGAACATGGCTTTTCTTTTCCAGGTGGCTACAGACATTGATATCCTTAGTTAAAGTTGCTGACAGCAGAGCTGCCAGCGCAATGAATTTGCTGACCCACTTAATCCTGGAAGAAAAGTGAGTAGCATTCTCCAGCTCCTCTGTGTCCAGGTTTGAGGCTTAATAGAATTCTGATTTGGGTATAAAATGGTAAATGGTGTCTACAAGGCAAGATTTAACTCTTGGATGGCCACCTCAGTCTCTTGAAGACCAGAACTCAAAGTCTTAACTCTCCGTCTTACTTTGCTTACAGCTTCAAAATCCAGTGCCGTATTAAACTGTCCACAGAGGCCTTGCCAATTTTTTCTCAATTGCTGGTAAGCAAACCTTTTTTCTTCCTGATGTTTGTACTCCCAAGTTCTGTTTCTCGGCGTTGACTCATTGATAGCCCCAGGAACCAGGTTGGCAGGACCCAGCACTAAAAATAGATGGAAGTTTTATGAAAAAGAATAATGGGAACTTTAGGTGTTTGCTGGACCGCCCCACCCTTCAATCCCAGAATTGCTGTGATGAGTTGAAAGGGCGCTAGTGATGACATCCCTTTCCCCATCTTGAATCATCTGGAACCTGGATCGTCTTAGCCCAGTGATGGTGAACCTTTTAGAGACTGAGTGCCCAAAAACCGGCCCGCCCCCATCCTGTCCCGGCTCCGCCCCTGCTCCACCCACCCCTGTCCCAGCCTGCCTGCCCTCCGCCCGCCCACAGGGCCACCCACCACAGATCGCCCAGACGGCCCAGCAGCGCCATGGCAGCCATGCCTTCCGCCTGCGCCCTGCAGCATCAACTGTGCATGGGTGCGAGGGCAGAGTCTTGTCCCTGCTGTCCAGCTGCCATGTCCTTGGCTGTGCTGCTCCGTGTGGGCCGCCCTTGGGGGTGACTCTCCTCTGGGGGGACTGGTGATGAGGGGGCCGTGGGGGGAGGTGGGGCTGGGACAACAGCGCACGTGCCCAGAGAGAGGGCTCTGAGTGCCACCTCTGGCACGTGTGCCATAGGTTCGCCACCACTGTCTTAGCCGATCTCCTTCTGCAGGAGGTTGCAAATAGGACCCCGAGTGCCCAGCTACAGATGATTTACAGAAGATTTACCTGCCTTCGGGTTTCTTTCCCCGAAAAGCAGCTCAGAATCCATTTCAACGTCTGCTTCGAGCCCCTGAAAGATTTTCCCATCATTCTTCCTTTTCCCCTATTTTTTTCCCCATTTTGTTTTATTGGTTTTGTTTTTCCTGTTGATATCTCAACGCCACCTGACAGAAATCCGACTGTTCTCTAAACGTGAACATTTTTGAACATTCTAGAAAACTAGATCAATTAGATGGAACGTTTTGAACATTGCAGCTGCCTGTGGTTTCAGACTTGACTGGGTCTCTCGCTGGGGGCCCCCAGTGAAGCTGTTCTTCTTTTCTCTCAAGAGCTCTTCCAAGCCCTTGAAGGAGACAGTCCTTAGCCAGTGCATTGCCCTCATGGGAGACCTCTGCTCAGACGTGGTCATCCGGATGCAGATGACCGAAAATCAGGAATGCTGGCAAGCTTGCTTGAGCTTCGTGGTACGTCTCGCCATTTGCTGCAGCCGGTTTATTGTCCATTCGGTTCCTTCCTCCTTTCACGCCCGCCTGTCTCCTTTCTGTTCCATTAGCCTGTGGGAAGTGGGAAGCTCAGCTGACAAATAAACCCCCCTGAGTCATAGCTTCTTTTTTTTTTGCCATAAGGCAGAAGTGACTGTTTGTTGCCATCTGGCCCTTCTCTAACCACGTCAATCCTCGCTGCTCTGGATTTGCTTTGCTCTTATGAACTGAAGGGTTCCCTTAAGGTGGCCTTGATTTCAGTCAGAGTGTTTTGGGCAACAAGTTAGTCCATCCCTCAACAATCAACTGGCTGCCAATCTCTAGAATTTCTGACTAAGTATCAGGTCTGCCATCTTCGGCTTGGCACCTTGCTGGCATCCTGCCATCAAAGGCTAGGAGGGAGGAGGGGAGACATGGGGGGGGGGAAACAGTGGGGCAATCAACCTTCATGTGTATGTGATGGGAAATCGGGAGGGGGGAATGACAGCTTGACGAAGAGAAGGAGAGCTTGGAACCAGTTTGTGCCGGTACCCAAGGCCAGGCACCCTGAGGAAGAATGTGAATTACCCTAAACATCCCAGCATTCTCAAAACACTTAGGCGGACTCTTGTTGGCTGAAGATGGACTGGTCAGGAGGGGGGGGAGGGCTGGGATGCAGGGAAACTTTCTGTATCTTTTGAGCACGGGAAATTTAGTTCTAGCCTGACTCTACTGCAACCAACATCTTTTAGTAAAGAAACCTGTCACTTCAACCAAATGGAGTTGAGGGTCTTTCTTTCCTAAGGGATCGGGCTGGGGCAGGCCTGACACCAAGAAAGAGACCCCAATCCAGGTCTCACTGGACACGCCAGCATCTATTGCTTCTTTACCATAATGACCTTGGGGTTCCCTGGGAGAGAACCTTCCTAGTGAGGTGTCTTTGATCAGGAGATGCTACCAAGAGATTAAGGGATGGTAGAGCAGAAGGGAATTCATCAATTTTGGAGCATCCAAGGGATTGGCTGATCTTGTGACGAGGTTGTGTTTTCTGCTTCTGTAGAATCAATGCTGGACCGAAAACAGTGTCGCCAGATATCCCGAGTGTTTGCATGCAGTCCTAGGCCTAATGATGAACCTCTCCCTGGAACCCAACTCAGTCATCGAGGTGATTTATAAATCTGCATCGCTTTATGGCCTCAGAACCTCTGGGATTCTCATCTGATCTACCTCCTCTTTCCATGCCATTCAATCCTTGAGGGGGGGGCTCCTTTGAGGAATTCTGAGCTGGGAAGATGTCCTCTTTGACCTGGGCAGGCCCGGGGTGGGGGTGGGTGGGTTGTTCATGGAGTTACACATTGCCCCTTTATCCACATCACATCCCCGTCGGATAAGATGGGCTGTGAAAGAGCGGGGGGGGGGGTTGAATCAACCTTCTGCCCCCCCCCCCGCAAGCTTTGGGTTTGAGCAGGTCTCAGCCCAGCTTGGTCCTCCTGCTTCTGTCTGTTCTTCTGTCCAAGGAAGACCACCGATTTTGTGTTTGCCCTCCAGAGTCTTAATTAAGCTGCGGTTCTGCCCTTTGCACACTGGCATTCTAACCCGATGGTTGTTTCAGGAACTTGCAGAGGAAATCTGTGACATGTGTATGTCTCTCTTCAACAGTCCAGACGGGAGGATCATCACAGTGAGTGTTAGAACACAGAACATTGAACAAGAGAGCTGGAAGGGACCTTGGAGGTCTTCTAGTCCAACCCCCCCTCCCCCGCCGCCCATGACAGGAGATCCTATACCATTCCGGACTTTCTTTGGGCTTGACGGGTTGGATACACACAATCATGGAAAGAATAATAGATTAACAAAACAGAATAAAAGATTTGGAAGGGACCTTGGAGGTCCTCCAGTCCAACCCCACCCACCACTTGCCCAAGCAGGAGACCTTATGCTGAAGGTGAAGAGTCCCAAGCTTTGGGCTTATTGATCTAGTGATCATTCTGGGATCATTCTGGGATTTGCCTTTCCCTCCTCACCTTTCATTCCCAGTACAAATGTCACTCCGTTTTTTAAAAAAATTATTTGTTTGTTTGTTTGTTTGTTTGTTTGTTTATTTATTTATTTATTTATTTATTTATTTATTTATTTATTTCCCTTTATTGGACGTCTGTAAGGTAGAAGCTGGCAGAATTAACCGAACAGGAAGTACTTCTCTTACCAGCTTTCTACTGATTCCTCTCCTCTTATTGTCTCTGTTCCTCCCCCCCTGTCTTTTTCAGACCCCCTCCAGAATTGCCACCCTTAATTCCCTTTACACCTTGCCCAGGGGTAGGCAACCTTGGCTCTTTTATGACTCGTGGACTTCAACTCCCAGAATTCCTGAGCCAGCATGGCTCAGCTTGGAAACCTCTCCCTTTCCCCTCAGCATGGCTGGCTCAGGAATTCTGGGAGTTGAAGTCCACGAGTCATAAAAGAGCCATGGTTCCCCACCCCTGACCTTGTCCCAGTCAGCTCAATCTACAGTCAGTCCCAGAACGTCTGTTGCTAGCCAGGCGGCGAGTCGTGCCAGATTTTGCAACCTTTTTCGCCCCGGTTGTTGAGTGAGTCACGGAAGCCAGGAAGCAAAACTGATTTCCCCCATTGACTTTGTTTTGTCTGAAGTCGACTGGGAAGGTCCCAAAGGGCGGTCACGTAACCCAGGGACACTGCAACCATTGTAAGTACATGCCAGTTAGCCAAGCACCCAGTTTTCGATCACGTGACCATTGGGATGCTGCCGTGGCCATAAGCCTGAGGATCAGTCATAAGTCTCTTGTTTCAGAGCCAGTGTAATTTCAAATGGCTGCTGCATAAATGGTTGTAAGTCAGCGATTGCCTGCATCGGTGTCAGGATCCCATGGTGCTGCGCCCTGCTCCTTCTTTGAGCCTGGAAAAAGCAAGATGGCAGCCAGCTGGGCGGGTTCCTGGGCCATTGACGTGACCAGCCCAGGAAGCAGATAAGGCAACTTGATAACTCGCTTGGAGAAACAAGGCTCCATCTTTCTTCTATTTTCTCTAAGAGAGCCGTGGGGCTTTTGAGTCACGTCCTGCCGGCAAGTCTGGTGGCTCTGGAAGAAGCTGTGAGACAAGACGTGGTGAGGAAAGCGATCCGATTCCTGAAGGTAATTTGCCGTCTCCGATGGCTCTTCCTATTTTAGAGCCATTGTTTCCGTCCCAGTGGCCTTGAAATGCTTCTGCCCAGCGCACGAGCAGACAACTCCGTAGTTCCCATGCCAGAAGCATGGAGTGTGAAGGCCCAATTGGCTTGTTTTACATCTTCCCTGGTGTTATACAGGGAGTCAAGTTGCACATTGCAGTTTTTACCTGTTCTGATCCTCTGCAGTGTTCATCCTTTCAGCTAAATTCAGCAGAATCAAACAGAAGGAGTCTCTGGCTGAGTCTTTCTATGGGGTCCTTGGTGCTCTCTGAGTTGGGTTGTTTCCTTGAAACATTTCATGACCCAACTAGGTAACATCATCAGTGCTAGAAGGGAGGGGGTTTGCAGAGTGGAGGAGGAAGACGATGACTGTGGGGTCCTTGGTGCTCTCTGAGCTTGGTTGTTTTCTTGAAGATGTTTCATGACCCAACAAGGGAACATCATCAGTGCTAGGAGGATTTGTAGAAAGGAGGAGGAGGAGGACTGTGAGGTCCCTGGTGCTCTCTGAGCTGGGTTATTTCCTTGCAGACATTTCATGATCCAACTAGGGAACACCATCAGTGCTAAAAGGGAGTGGGATTATATTCTCTTTTATATTCGTGGTAGTTCCTTGATTAGTCTGTTGTTTACTGCTTAGTTGTTGTTCTGGTATTGATCTTGGTGTTAACCTCTGCTCATCCTGGTGTTGAATGCTGGTGAGGAGGTGTTTTGGTCTTTTTATTTCTTCTTCTTTTGGCTTGTAGATTGTCTTTTTTGAATGGTATGTAGATGTGGTTTATCTCTATGTGCCTGTTGATGGCTGCTTTGTCTGAGTGCCCAACTTCCAGAAATTCTCCAGAATGCTTTTGGACTTGGCTTAGTCTAGGATGATGACAGTTTTCCGGTTGAAACTATTGCTTAGTCTGTCCATGTAGTGAGCAATCTTCCGACTGCTACTTGGTGTTCATAGATACACTTGACCAGTCTTCTACTTGTTTGTCCTACACAGTGGCTGTTACAGTTTTTCTCATTGTCCGGGTCAAAACAGAAGAACATGACTGTGTCCCTTAACGTATCTTGAGATCAGTAGCAGCTTCCCAAACATGTTCTTACCACCTCCTGCTTCCAAGGTCTTTTAGCTGGAGATGCCAGGGGGTATGTTCTGCCAATGTCGTGAGCCCTACTTCCCTCTCTGCCTTGGGGCAGAGATGACCTTCTCCTCAGAGACCCAGCCATCCCCTGAGCCCTCCATCAGCTCACGGTGACGAACTCCGCAAGCCAGCGGTGCAGAACGGAGCGGCCTGTTCCCTCCCTGCATCTTTCATGCGCTCTTGGCTCCTGAACAGGTTTTCCTTCCTCAGCTGTTTCGCCAAAGAATCAGACACCGATGGACGGTCAGAGTAAATACCCAGGCGGTAGATGCAAAGGGGCGCCTGGCACATCAGAGCAGCAGTAAGAAGAACATCCCAGTTCCACATTCACACACTGCCCGAGGCAGAGCGCTGGAAGAGAAAAATGGGGTGGAAAGGAACAGCAAATGTGGAATAGATGCTTTTGGAGTCTTCGGGGAGAGGAGAAATGTGATGCAGGCTGGTTTTGCAGTGTTAGGAATGCTGCTAGGTACAGGTAGCTACTGTCCCATTAAGCACCTAATCCAGTGTTTTGCAAACTTGGCTGCTTGAAGATGTGTGGACTTCAACTCCCAGAATTCCTCAGCCAGAATTCCCAAAGCTGGCTGGGGAATTCTGGGCGTTGAAGTCCACACATCTTCAAGCAGCCAAGTTTGCAAAACACTGACTTGATCCCTACCTAGCATTAACTTGTTTCACCTCCAGAACAGAGAAATACCTGCACAGCATCAGATCCTGGGTGGGTCTCAGCTCATGAAGCTGATTTTTCTCATGGGCCAGCTCTAGTGTTCTAGCTCCTTCTCCCTACAGATGCTTAGAACTTGCAACATTAAAAGTCTCCAGAGACCTAAAACGTGAAGTTCTTGTTTCTGCAGTATAGGGTTTCTGGAGACAAGTCTCTGCTTTTGGTGTGTGTGTGTGTGTGTGTGTCTTTTCCTGTCTCCAATCTAGGCTGGTGGGCAAACCACGACTGGTTATGCCATGAAGGTCCTTGCCATTTGTGCCAAGAATAGTCGGCTGGCTCTGACGCAGATTGTGAAACTGGATAAGAGTAAGTGCCGCTGCCTTCTATTCAATCTAGGGCAGTGTTGTTCAAACTGGGCAACTTTCAGAGATACGGACTTCAACTCCCAGAATTCCCCAGCCAGCATGGTTGGCTGGGGAGTTCTGGGAGTTGAAGTCCACCCTTCTTAAAATTGCTAAAGTTGAGCAACCACCCCAGAAATGCCAGAGAAGCCAAGTGATAGGGTGGCCTCTGGAGTACGTTCCTCCCTTTCTTAAAAAATAGCTTTGTGGGGCAGAGCCTGCCCTGGTCTTGAACGATCAGAGGCCATCCTGTATTCCTTTGAGGCATCCTCCCAGTTCCAGCTCGCTTAGACAAATAGGACTGCTGGCCAAAAAGGATCACCTTCCTTTAGAGCAGTTTTTCTCAGCTGAGGTTCCACAAGAAGGCACGATTGCAAAAATAAAACATACATTTTTTTGTGTAACTGTATACACCATGCAGTTCTAGTGCTCACAGCCCTGGGAATTCAGCCATCAGCCTGCCTGCTGTTGTAAAACATGGATAGGTTGGAATTGTATCATTACGTTTTTATATGTTTTGTTCCTCGAGAGCTGAAAACTATTTCAAGGCTTCCTCTGCGATAAAAATGGTTGCAAAATTCTGTGGCTGCCTGAGAAAAAGGTGCTTCCTGAGGGTTGGGACACCTTCGGAGGGTGAGCAGGAGCTTCAAATTACGGAGGGAGAAAAAGGGGAAAGCCCTGGGATTTTGCTGGCTTCTCCTTTTGAAGAAACCCTCCCTTCTCCTGGCAATAAGACTCACGGGTGCAAGAAGACCCAGAGACACCCTGAACAAATGGGGCTATCCGGTGGCTTCTGCCCTTTGCGATTGTGGTGACATACAGACAACAACACATCTATGCCTGCCCTTTGTGTCCCCATTGTACACTTGCTGACCTCACGGCAGCCTGTCAGAATGCAATGAATGTTTCTGGGCAAGATTTGTTTCACTTGTACGTATTTTAACCTTGCGTTTTATATTTTAAATTTTATGTTGTGGAGAATGCCTTATTTTAATTGCAATGCTTCTGACACGGATAAAGAAACAGGAGGACTCTTTCTGGAAAGCTCCAGTGGCTCTGTTCTCCAGCCAAAACCTTTATTTCTTTTTAGTCCTGGTGCCAGTTGGCTTCCTGGCCCTCTAATCATCCCGCAGCCTCCTTCCTCTGGGTGCTGCTGGAGGCTGTTGACCTCCTTGTTGGTTGGTTCACAGGTTGTCTTTTCCGAGAGGGAGAGTTTAATTGGCATGGCCTCCCCCTCCCCATCCGGAGAATTGAGCCATTCCTCCCTCCATCTTGCCTTTCCACAAATCCCTTTGGCACTGAGGGAATTAACCTTCCATTTTAGCTTTCGCTCCTCCCAGGATCTTATTTGGCCTTGTTTGGTCTCTCCCCCAGAATGCAGCCTGTTGCTGAAGCTTCTGTCCTGGCCGAACGAGGGGGTGGCAGGCAACGCTGCTTTCTGCCTGGAGAAATGTCTGGAGGTGCCTGGCACAGCCACCAATTTGCTGGACACGGATGTGGTCAGAATCCTCTTGAGAGTCACCACAGGGAGTGCCCAAAGGGCTTCCGTGCAGGACAATGCAGCCATCGCCTTAGGGAAGCTCTGCGCAGCTGATGCCAGGCGAGTCTTCTTCTGAGTGGCCCGGCCAGGAATTGGCCCCTCCCTTTGTGTTTCTGAGAACCTTTATGGATGGACTCAAATCCTCCCCCCCCCCCATCTTGAAGCTTCCCAAAAAATTTCTTTGGTATCTTCTGGAACTCCCCCTGGTGTGTGGTGTGAGACAGAAGTTGGGATAGTGGTGGGGGGTGCACATCTTCATTTGTGAGAAGTTCTTCATTCTCTGGAGAGGTTCTCCTGTTAGGTGGCTTCCTCGTCACTTTGATGGTCTCTCTAAACCAGACTTGGAGAGAGTGGCCAAGGCTGTGGTGCCAGCTTCCCTCAACCCTAGGAGGTCTCGAGAATTTGCTTTGGGGTAAAGTTATGTAAGATCGGAGCTGGAAGATTGCTTGGCTGTGATCCCAACGGGGTTGGTAGAATCCTGCTGATAGAATCAGTTGGGTTTTCCATCTGCAGTCAGTGTAAAGAAGGTGCGCATCCTCTTTGGACCAAGGGAATCAGCCAAACCTAGAAGAATTTCACCCATTAAATGGAAGGACCTCAGCCTGATGGTCCTTCCATCCCCCAAGCCAGGGGGTACCTGAGCAAGGTATTTGTGCTCACCTTTGGCATTTAAACGCACCCTGTTTGAATTGGGGTAGATTTCCTTACATGCAGAAGGACCGAGGTACTTTAACGTATTTGGAAAGAGAAAGGCTACATAAGGATACCCAGAAAAAGTGAAGTTCTGCCTAAATGAGGCCAGGTTCCAGAACAATGGTTCTGAGAACATGAAGTCACCAATTTTGGGGGAAAATGAAGTCCTCCCCTCAGACTGAAATATGTCCCATGTTGTCCTTCTGGGATAGAATGTGAAGAAATGTCATTGCCATCTTCTGCTTGCCGACAAATCTTGTTGACCGCCACACAGAATTTTCTTTTGAAGCTGCTGCCTTCAGCTCTTTCTTGCCAGCATCTTTTATATCTGGTTTTGCTGTCTCTCTGTGGTCTTTGCAGGCACACCAGCCGGCTGCGGGAGCTGAACGGAATGGCGGCCCTGAGCGCTTCCGTCAGGAAGATGCAAGGCTATTAGGGTGCCAGCAGATGGTCCAGAGAGGGTTTCTGTGGGCAGCCCTGTCTCGGGTTGGAATTGTGCTTTCTTTTTACAATAAGGAGGATTAAAAATGGGGTGGGGCAGGGGGAGAGAGAGGGTCATAAAAATATCAAATATAATAAATTGCTTGGAACAGTGCCTGGATTAAAGTGTTTTCCTGTGTTTGTTCCTAAAAATGCAGCAGCAATTCTAGGAACCTGTTGCTTATCCAGGTAGGAATTGTCACTTTCCAAAGGAGCCTATTTAAAAATTAGGGAGAAGAGGTTACTTGAGATAGGGCCATCACACAGACCCAGTCTAGCTGGATCCCTTGGGAGCTGAGTATTTGGGGATCTTTTTTCATCCTTTCCTTGAGCACAGCTCCCCTGTTTCTGAGTGTTTCATGCTGCAAATGCTGACTATGGATAGATTGCAGGCTTCATGCCAAGGTTTGCCTTCAAATATATCCACATGGACAATCCCTTAAATAGGAGCCAGCCTTGTGCTGCAGCTGCCAAAAAAGCCAACACAGTGCTAGGCTGCATTAACAGAGGGATAGAATCAAGATCACATGAAGTGTTAATACCACTTTACAAGGCCTTGCTAAGGCCACACTTGGAATACGGCATCCAGTTTTGGTCACCATGATGTAAAAAAGATGTTGAAACTCTAGAAAGAGTGCAGAGAAGAGCAACAAAGATGATTAAGGGATTGGAGGCTAAAACATATAAGGAACGGTTGCAGGAATTGGGTATGTCAAGTCTAGTGAAAAGAAGGACCAGGGGAGACATGATAGCAGTGTGCCAATATTTGAGGGGTTGCTACAAAGAGGGGGTCAACCTGTTCTCCAAAGCACCTGAAGGCAGGACAAGAAGCAACGGATGGAAACTCATCAAGGAGAGAAGCAACCTAGAACTAAGGAGGAATTTCCTAACAGAACAATTAACCAGTGGAACAGTTTGCTGAATCAGTGGAACGACTTGCCTCCAGGAGTTGTGAATGTGCCAGCACTGGAGGTTTTAAAGAAGCAATTGGACAACCATTTGTCTGAAATGGTTTAGGGTTTCCTGCTGAGCAGGGGATTGGACTAGAAGAGCCCCCCAAGGTCCCATCCAACTCTGTTATTCTGTTACGTGAGTTGAGCTTTCTGGCCTTCCTAATCAGGTTGCGGTGCAATCTGGGCAGGAGAAAAAGAGCGAGAAAGAGAAGGAGAAACTCACTTAATTTCAAATAGATTCCTCCCTTCTCCCTCCTTGACTCTTTGAGATGGCCATTATGCCAAGATGAGCAGATGTGAAATTGTATGTCATTATCTCTTCTTGGGAGCAGCGGATGAGTGTGCTAATCTACTCCACTTCACAGGAAATGCAGCTTGGAGTGCACGGAGCTTGCAAGGAGCAGAATTGCCATCACTGCCCCTCAGTTTTGCCTGCTTGCTCCAGCTGCTGCATCTCAGGGTTCCTGTGTTTTGCCACTGCACCCGTCTTAAAGTGAGGGGCATGCACGATTGGAATAGAGTGCTCCTGTGTGGGGCTGCCAATTTGACCTCCACAACAATTCTGTGGGTTACTTGACAAGGATAGCCAATGAGGATTGTTGAGACTTTGGAAAAAGTGCAGAGAGGAGCAACTAAGATGATTAAAGGCCTGGAGACTAAAACATATGAAGAACGGCTGCAGGATTTGGGAATGGCCAGTCTAGAGAAAAGGAGGACCAGGGGGGACATGATAGCAATATTCCAGTATTTGAGGGACTGCCACAAAGATGGGTGGGAGGGGTGTCAACTTATTTTCCAAAGTACCAGAAGGGAAGACACGAAACAATGGATGGAAACTGATCAAAGAGAGAAGCAACCTGGAATTAAGGAGAAATTTCCTGACAGTGAAGACGATTAACCAGTGGAACAGCTTGCCTCCAGAAGTTGTAAGTGCTCCATCACTGGTGGTTTTTAAGAAGAGACTGGACAGCCACTTGTCTCAAACTGTATAGGGTCTCCTGCTTGAGCAGGGGGTTGGACTAGAAGACCTCCAAGGTCCCTTCCAGCTCTATTCTGATCAACGGATTGATTGAAGAATAGCTAATGAGGATTGTCCCTAGTATTCAGGGGAGGAATTACGGGAGCCAAATTGTCTGCCCCTCCTTTAGCCCAATCCTGGAGGACATGGGAGTCGAAGGCTGAAGTCACAGTGGCATTTGGTCTTCCCAGGCTGGAGTCGGATCCTGCTGGGCGCTGCTTTGTCAGCTTTCCTTCCAGGATCTTTCTTTTTTTTTTTTTAACAAGTTTTATTGGTTTTTTTCATTTTACAAACAAGTGCTTAAGAAACAACGTGGTGGCAGGGCAATCAATTGTCCACAAAACAAAGTCATATTCATAAAGTTGTATTAAGTCATTAAAAACCTCCTCTCTTTTCCTTCTAATGACATATTATATTCAAATTGATATATTACGACTTCCGGTGGTGACAGCTGGCATCGCATGGCGGCTTTTTTAGCCGCCCGTCCGGGAGCGCGTCAAAGCCTGAAGAGACAGCGTTTGCCAGCTGTCTCTCGGCTAGGAACCTCGTCCCTCGGGCAAAGAGGGAGAGGTGAGTGAGTCCGGATAGGGTTAGAGCTTCCTTTCGCCCCGGTTTTGTCTTAATCCGGGGTG